TGAAGAATTTGGATAAGTATCAACATTTTGTCAGGCTTATTTATTCAAGGGCAAGCACTGGTGCTTTGCAGATCTGGACCCCAGATAACTTCCAGCAATGCTAGAGCCAGCATTGAGATTTGAGTCTTCCGCTAGACAAGGATCAGGGAAAGCCCCATTTTCCAAATACTGGCATCTCAAACAGGGATCTTCAGAACAGTATTCACATTGATCTGGTTCATGAGGCTTACAAAGGGGGAAAAAAGTAAAATTAGCTATTTCTTGATGTGTTTTTAAATGTAGTGTTTATATACATCATGCAGTACATCTTTCCATGGGTAAAACTTGGTTTCATGGGGTTAATAATCTTGCTCTATAGCTCTGAAAAATATGTAGACAAACAGCCTGCCCTTAGGCAGGGATGGTGGGAAGAACAAGAGTTTCAGGCTGAAACACGAATCTTCCAGCTCCTGATTTCAGGGTACAAGGAGCCCAGCAACACAATAGCTCAGCAGGCCCCTGGCACAGTTGACAAAAAGTTGGGTGTGGCTTGCAAAAAATAAAACACATTACACCCCTGACCCTTCTGCTTATGTGCTGGTTTTAGATGCTCCAAGAAGTCTCACAGTCTGGAGACAAAAATCAGACACAGGAGGGACTGCCAAGGGGAAGGCACCTCCATGCTATTCCTAATGCGAGAATATACATTTTGCTTTTCTGTTGAAACAGCCAGATGATCCCATTCTGTTTGGCAAATGAATTGCTCAGATGCAGAGTAACTCAATCCCCATGTCTGAAGGAGCCGGAAGGTTTGTTCTTTCCCCAAGCCAGTCTGCTCTGAAATCCAAAGAGGAAAGGACCTTTCTTATACCAAACACTGAAGATGCATCTCTATGGCAGTTTCTATGTAATAAAAACAATCCTAACTGCAAAATACTAAGTCTTGACAACTCTGTTAGAGAAAAAAAATAACTATGGAAATAATAATCATGCAGTATGTTCCATGGAATGTCTTTCATACAGACACTCATAAGAAACTAATTATTTTAATGAGATGGCTGTTGCCTTCCATTAGTTAATATAGTGACAATACTCATTTTCCATTCAAAATCCAATTTTGACTTGATTCCCTCTCAACATTTTTCAGGTCTCACTCAATCTGCTTGACATTTCTTCGCCTTTTTTCTGGGGGAGCACTGGGGAGAGTTGGCCAAGATATTCATGAGCTAATTTAGAGTTTGATATGGCAAGCTACTGCCAGAACTTTACTTGTGTTGAGTAACTATTTCTGTGCTAAAGTGTCAGGGGAGGGTGGGGATTTGTATCTGGCAGAAATACAGCTCAAAACAAACAAATAGAAGGACAAAATAACCTGTAGAAATAAGGTAAGGGTGAAAGGGATGGTCACAAGAAGAGAGATCAGAGTTTATGTTATTATGCTGGGTCCACTTCAGAGTTTGTTGCTATCAGTGCAAAGACTGTGGTTGACTTAGTGGGCTTTGGATTGGCATCTGGGTAAATTTGCTTCTGCTCTAATTGTTACCCACCAGTAAAACAGTCATCTGAAAAAGGAGATTAATTTATCTGTATGTAACCTGCAAGGCTTGGTCTGGAGAGCTTTTAATCACAGGTTATAGTTGGTGTCAGGAATTTTTGTGTGCGCCTGCAGATTAAGGGTAGGATGATATGTCTAAGACTCTCAAAGGCATGTAAATAAGTCTTGCTGACATGGTATAATTTCCTCTGGCTTGGAGGAATCGTGGAGCAGGGTGTTGTGTGACCATTTTATTCTGGCGTGCTGTTAGTTCCATGTGCAAATACCCATTTCCTCTTCAAAAGTCTTCATTTCCAGAAACTGAAATATATGTGCATGATGGAAACATCACCCCAGGTGAAATGTTCCTTCTGCATCAGAGCATGGGTCTTTCTGTGGCAAAAACATCCCGGTTTCAGCTTTTGCTGTTTATGAACCTGTCCATTTTGGTGCAAAAATAAACCACAGTTACTTTCCATTTCACCGGGATTCAAGATGTCAAGCACTGCTATTGTGGCTACTCCATGTCTGCTAACCCTGCATCTGCCTCTCCTATACATCTGTCTCTCCAGAACATTAGCAACTAGGTTGAAAATAGACCTCATCATGAGAACAAAAATGCTTCCCCATTTCGGCATACAGCATGTGTGTTTGACCAGCGTTCTTTCTGGTGTGGTTTCTTTCATTCAACTGTCCCATGCTTAATTTGTGTATGGTGAAGCTAGTTTCTTTGTCTGTTCTTTCCAGTCTCTGTCTCCTCCCTGCCCTTGCATCGCTGATTTTTTTCGTTTTTCTTTTCTTACCTTGGGCTATCAACAGATTGATTTCCTGATCTGAGCAGGAGTGTCTGCTTTGAAGACCACTTCTCACCTTTTCATTGCTGAAAGAATCTCAGGAATGAGGCTCAGTGGCCCCAGCAGCATTCCACACCTTCAGACGTCGTTTGCACATGTTCTGGGGGAAAAAGCAAGGTAGACAGAATCCCTGGGAATGTATTCCAGCCCTGCAAGAAACGTTTAGCTGCAGGTGTGCTGGTGTGCAGAATGCGCTTAGGGCTGTCTTACAAATGTAGGGCGATATGTTCAGCTTCTCTGCCTCGTCCACACTAGGAAGTGTTTGCTGCAATAACTAAAAGTGGTAGAATAATATCAACAAAGCCCTTCCCACCAGTTTTGGCAAAACATGTTATTCCAGTGGTTTTACTTTAATGCCAGGTCCCTGAGCAAAACGTACTGACAAAAGATCTTATTTTTGGAAATATCACTATATCTACCCTGTCAGGGGTGTATTTGGTAACCGTGTTGGTGTGAGACAAGGAGACATACAAAAAACTAGAACTCTTGGTTCCAAAATGATACCTTTTATTATAAAAGGTATCATTTTGGAACCAAGAGTTCTAGTTTTTTGTATATATCTACCCTGGGATTTTTGCTGACACAGCTAGGTTGGTCAAGAAGGTGATATTTTTCACACTCCTAACCAGCACAGCTATGCTGGCCAGATTTTTTGCACAGATCGGGTCTATCAGAGATCTCTGGGTTACTCATTATTTGCTTTTTATTATATTATTTATGTCACTTTTATTATAACTGTGCGGGCCGGGAGTGGTCCGAGGTTCTCGGGGGCGCGTGGCGTGGGCTGTGGCCAGCAGCCCTGGTACGCGGGTCGGGGAATGCAGGCCGGTGGGCTAGAATTAGGCACGGATGCTTAGCGGTTGATTAAAGATTATTTTACACCGAAGATGGTCACGGTGCAGGCAGGAAAACTTGCTTGAGTTGCGGTTACAGACAGAAAAGAAGAGAGGCGGACAAGAGTTCCTTGCATGCAAACCTCTAGCCCAATCCGGTTGAAGGCTCTAAACACGTGAGCCCGTCGTGTCAACCGAAGAAAACAACTCGGAGAAGAGAGCTCTGGATTCACTCACACGAAGTTTGCTAGGCTCCGTGGAACTTGCGCGCAGGGAAGGGGCTCGGAGACGGGGAGAGGCCAGAGGTTGATCAGACCCCTATAGCCTTCTCAAGGTACACGCTGGGTCCGATAGGCTCCGCAGTGCTTAGAGTTCTTCACAAGATGTGAAGCCCTCCTCCTCCAGATGGTTGTGGAGTCCTCCAACTTGGGCGGAAACCGCTCAAGCCTCTTATACGGCTAGCAAGCCAAGGGAAATAATTTAGCAGTGCCGAAGCGCGCACACATCAAATCACACCCTTGGGTTGTGACAATAACCACAGTGGCTGCAGTTACTGGGAAAGCAGGCAGTGTCGCCACAGGTTAATCACCACAATAAGAATGCCATCCTGTGGACATTTTCTCTGTGGCACTTGTATTGTAATCCAAATGCCACATCCTCAGAAGACGGTGCCCTGTATAGTGAATACAAAGTAACACAGAAGTCCTAATTTTGTGTTCCCTTTGTTTTATATTTGCATTTCCAATGCTTCATTGCTGTTCCAAGGCATTTAAAGATACTACCTATCACTACAAAGCCTCCCTTTGTGGGGAATTCATAGCAGCTGGCACAATGGTGATAATGTACTCAATTATGTTAAGAAACCAGATTAAAATTTCAAATAATGGAAGATTTGAGGATGTTTCCCATGACAGAACAAATTAATCACTTTGGTTGTGGTTAGTGCATAGTAGAAACTTCCTGTCTTTTATGAAGGTAGGAAGTTCCTTACCAATAAGAGGTTAATTAAGTAATTAATTATTGCATGCAGAGTGTGGACCTACTTTATAATAGGAGTCATTTGCATTATACCTTTATGGTGGGATTACTTTAATGTTACAGAGATTTAAAAAATACGACTATGTAGAATGTGTCTCAAAGTGGGTCCTCCATTTATCTGTAGCCAGTGTCATAAGCAGAGGATGTGTGGCTATGTGCAAAGTTGGCTTAAGGCTGTACACATACATATGCACACACCCTTATGCAGGGATCCGGCTTCAGGAGTTCTGTGATTAATCACTATCTCGTTTTTTAAATAATGACTTTTTGACCCTCTTGTGAAGAAAAGCTTGAAGACACGAACCTCATGGAGCTGATGCGTGCAGGAAAAAGGCCTCTAGATCATTGCCCTGATTCTGTTTATTTTGTTAGCATCAGAGAGAAAATGGATGTGCTGGTCGTCACCTGCTGTAAATGCATTGTAGCATGGTGATTGCACGCACTCCTCTCTCTGCTGTGTTCTTGTTGTTAGACAAGGTGGAGTGCCCTGATCAAACGCTCTCCAGGAGCAGTTCCACTGCAGAGGAGTCCAGTAAGGTGTACTAGTGAGACATGTATGAGTTGGCTGCTGGTAGATCTAGCAAAAACAGTTTTGCTTTTAAAGGAGGAGAGACGCATTCATTCTTGTTCTTTCTTCCCCTCTTCAATAAGAAAGCAATACTGTACAGTTCCTCTTCTGATGCCCTATCCATTGAAATTCATAGTCATGTCCTCAAGATGGAACCTGCACAACCAGATTCTGTTCATATGTTTTCCTCACAGAGCACCGTGGGGGACAATCGGTGGCTACAAGAGCAGCTGATCCGGCTCCTGGTCAGTTATTGTGATTTGAACACTGCAGCCAGGTGGGCTTTTCACTACAACTTCCCTAAGGAGAACCTGCCTTATGGAGTGGCTGATGAGCTTCAGAGACTCAAGATCCAGGAGAGGTAAATACCCTGTTTTATGTAATACATATTCAGGGTGTGCAAAATGGGCCCTATTCGATTTGGATTTGGCCTGAATTGGGGACAGTGATTCGATTTGTGATTCGGATCCCTGTCCCCAATTCGATTCGGCCAAATCTGAATCTGAAGATTTGATGCTGATTCAGAGAATCAGTGATTCAGACATAAACACAGCTTTAAATGCTTTTTCTACATACCTTGAGGTAGCAGGCGCGGCTCGTGAACACTGTGATGCTGGGGCAGATGGAGCATCCCACAGGAGTACGGGGCTTGGCGACAAACCCACAAGTGGACCAGAAGTAGTTCCGGTCCACTTCCGGGTCCACTGGGGAGCACGTGGGGGGGGGGGCCTGCCCCTCCCTTGCTCGGCAATCAGCCACGTGGGGACCCCAGGTGCCCCCCCCAGACCCAGGAGGGACCAGTCACTGAGCCAGGGGGGTGCGCAGGGTGGGGTTCTGATTCAGTTCAGAGAAATTAAAGGGTCCTCTGATTCTATTCAGATTTGGAGATTTGGCCATCAAATCGGGCCAACTCTCCGCCAAATCAAATCGGGGACCGAAGCTTCGTATAGCCCTAATACATATTAGTCACCACATCAGGGCTGCCACGTTGCTTAAAATAATCTGTTGTAGGGCGGTGTTGAAGGATGCAGCTTGTTCAGCTTATAGGGTAGGAGAATTCTGCAAGAATTTTCACCGTATAGTCACGGTAACATGTGCATGGTTGGTGTTTGCTTTCCACAAGCATGGGAACACCCACAGAAGGCACAGATTAAGCACACACCAAAGTGTTCTGATCTTCATGGGATGGGACACTTTGCTATGGTAGAGGACCAGGATTCTCCAAGTCTCATTGCCAGGACTCTACTGCAGAGCAAATGCAATGAAATGGAAGGAATCTAACTATACCTCATACCGCACAAACTTTGTGTCCAGCCTGTAATTAGTACCACAGTGTGCTATATCTAAATACAGTGAAATCTGAAAAGCAGTCATTAGGATAACTTGTCACTATACTTTTGTTACCCTGTATACAGAATCACTTCTAGTCCTATTGATTTGTATACAAAATGCTTCAGGTAATTAGTCGTCTGTTAAAATGTATTCATTCATTTCCAAATGTATATATATGCTAAATAATAAAAGAATTTGCTCCTGATGGCTGGCTTCAAAGGTACTGACCTGCACTCTCCCTAGAAAGCAAGACAGATGCTGTGTTTAAAGCATTAAGTATTCTTCAGCTTTTCATGCCTCATCAAGACATAGGTGATCAACTGTTCCAGTTCTCAAAATTGCCTTCTATTTTGGCAAAAGTAAGAGTGCAAAGTCAAAAGCTTTGATTATTTTATTCCATCATGTAGTTCTTCTGATGTGAACACACTGAATTTTTATAGTAAGAAACTAGACGTTAAGCATTTATCTGCATAATCATACCGTTTCTCCATATAGCAAACCAAAGTGTATACAGTTTGCACTTGGAATTTTTATAGTGTAGTTTTTCATGGTGAATGACAGAATTCATTCCTTACCTAGTCAATATGGAAGGCAAAATAAATCATGAGAAGTTGAAAATTGTTAACTACTGATAATTAGTCACTCAGGGATAATTAGAAACCATCACCAATTCCTTGGAGTGACAAATTAACCAGAGTTCACTGTAGTGACACTGGTGAGGCTTATATTCCTGAAAGAGGAAAATATTTTAAATTGCATGAAGTTCCCTAATCATACTTCTCTGCTTCCCCTCCCTGAGAGACTTAAAGTCATCATAAAGTCCTCTTTGTCAGTTTGGGCTGGATCCAAAACCTCCTGAAGTAAATGTCACTCTGTATTAAGTTTAGTAGACTTTGGATCTGGCTCTGTAAGAATTACGTTTATCCAGTTAGACATTTGAAGCCTTGTCCAATAGCTTATGTGACCTGTTGAAGACAACAGTGAACTCCCACTGACTTCAGTGGTGCAGTTTTGGGGTGCATATATCATCAGTAAGTTTTACGCTGAAGTAATTATTCTCTCAACATTGCCCTCCCTGGCAACATTTGCTTCTCTCAGACAGTACATGGCTCCTTCCCTGAGAAGTGGCCCATATAGCAGAGAAAACACCTGCTCATTTAGCACATGAACCTGGTTGTCATATAAGTGGAGTTGGGGGACTCCCCCATCATCTCACTGGCCAGCCAAGGCCAGCAAAAATGGCAGATATGGCAACCTTGGGAAGAGTAGCCCAGGACTGGCACTCAGGAGCTACTGAAGGCTGTGACTACAGGAGACTGTCTCTGAGGTGGGTTTGTGCCTTAAAGACACCGCATGGTCTTTCACATCCACTCTGTTCCTTGTGTACATTGTAAGCCCACAGAACAGATAGCACAGTCCTAGGACATGGGGTCAGGTGGGAAACGGGTGTCAGAACTCAGAGTGCAGTCATCTCACTTCATCTGCATGCAGCCTTCCCTCTACGTTGTGTGGCGTGCACGGCATGAGCATGGCCGCGCATGCCACATAGAGGGAACGCTGTCTGGATGCCCAAGAGTGGCAATAGAATTGAGTGGGTAGAACAAGGCATGGAGTCATGAGCCCTAGGATCTTCTTGTGGCTCTGCCATTCTCCAGGAATTCTGAATGGCTGTGAAGCCCCCTGTGCCCCAGGTTCCTCACTGTAAAATGGGAATACCACTACCTTCTACTGTAAGGTGTTTGAATTGTATAGAGCACTGGTCCTTCACTTATATCAGCTGCTGAAATATTGTAGCAGCAGGTTCCAGAGTGGGCGTTTGCTCTGTAAAGGCAAGAGATAATATCAGAGTATAAATGATGAAATCACCCCTGCTACTGGTCATACCACGTGCCACTCCTGAACTGTGCAGATGAGAATATTCCCGGAGACCTGAGATTTCACACCTTCATTAAATATTTTACACAAATATTGACTTCCCCATGCACACAGACTGTCTATGCAAGCTAATGTTTGTATAGCACAAAGCTGCCATGCTACAAAATTAGTCATGCAGTTCCCTAAACACAAGGTTAGTAAATATTTTCTCAAATAATAAGCCATTTAAAGTCTCTGTGGGAACGAGACTGTCCAGATATTCGTGATATGTGAAAAATAGCTGGATTTTTGTTTTATTATGCTTACTTTCCTCCAGTTGCATCATTTGGATGGGACACCAGAGCAATGTGCTGACTTTCCAGTTCCGAAACTGTTTCAAGAGCCTCTGCTGCATTATGAAAAAGAAATTGTGCTGTGTAAGATCCTGTTGTAGGAAATCAATGATAACTCACAAAGGCTGAGTAAATCAACTGCATGGTGCTGATGTGTTCACATTAAACTTTTTTGTGGCACTGTCTTACTTTGGGAGAGTTGCACAGTAAGATCTTAGTCAGTTCAGCATTAAACCTATCCCTGAAGTGGAGGGAGATGTCGGAGCAGTGTTGGGTTCTGCTTCTTCCAGCTCTGTACCACAGAAAGCAAATGTTCTTGTACAGTGTCAGGGGACAGGCAGGGATTTCCATAGGAAGGAGAAGTCCGTGAAACCCTTCTGTTCTCTTGGAAGCGTGCGTGGTGAGTCATTCCATTCTAAGCTGTGTGCAGGAGGCAGCCGCTGAGACCAAAGCAGTAGATCCTAGCGTTCTTAGTTGGAGACCTTAGTTGGAGCAGCTTGTGATTTTCTTATTAGAACATGTTCCTTTCTAAAGAGATAAATGGAACTCTGGTTTTGACTCTTAGCAAGTCACAGACCGCGATACGACGTGAGAACTACCAGATGCCTGGAACTGCTGTGGGGAGCTGAGAACCAAGTATTTATAATGTGGAATCCTAGAATCTGGAACTTGTCACCTAACTTTGTAGGCTGTCAGGTCACATCCATTCTGGGAAAGAGAACTGTGTAATGATGATAAATGAACTAAGCCTGGGCTTGGGTATGGGGGTTTTCCAGTCTCCTAGTAAAATTTTCTGGTCATGAACATCATTAATTAAACACACACGTACTATTCTCTTAGGCCCCCTCTACACATTACAGGTATTGTGCAATTAACTGGTTAATTCTGCAATTAACTGAGACCAGCTATATGTTCAAAGTACCTGTCTTGCCATAGAAAGGTCCAACCAGCTATAAAGTTAGACCTTGAAAATGTGTATTAACTTTATAGCTGGTTGCTATCCAGCTCTAATTTGAATATGTAGCAGGGTCTACCCCTGTGGCTGGGAGCCCTGCCAGCTGACCATGTTCTTAGCTGCAGGAGTACACCGTGCCAAGTTGGGACTGGGAGTCCTGCAGCTAAGGGGACTCTCAGCCTCTGCAGCACTCAGGAGCTGCAGACTCCAGGTCCCGACAGTACCCTGCAGCTACCAGGGATGCTGGGTCTCTGCAGCCACTGGGTGCTGCTAGAACTCCTTGTCCACAGCTGCAGGACTCTGGGTCCCAGCAACTGCAGGGTGTGGCTGCAATCTCCCACCTCTGGGCGTGTGTGGAACACCCCTGCAGCTGGGGTATTATAGCTACAGTGGTCTCTCAGTTGTGGGGGTGTGTGGCAGGAAGATTGCAGCAGCTGTGATCTCCCAGCTGCAGGGGCCTGTACACACCTCTGCGGCTGGGGTACCACAGCAGCTGCAATCTCTTTGCCATGAGGGGTTCCATGGTAGGGAGACTGCAGCTGCTATGTCTCCCATTTGCTGGGGTACGTGGGGCACCCCCATGGCTGGGAGCCCCTCAGTTGAGAGGGGTCCCATCTGTGGGAGCTTGCTTCTTGTCTGTTTAGTGAGAGCCCAGGATTGGGCTTGCCCTTCTCCAGCAATAAGACGAGATGGAACCTAATGCATGATCCCACAATCATGCCTCCTGTCATGCCATTTTTATGGTGGTGAGTAAATGGGAAGAGCATGGGCCTGGGCAGAAAAAGACAGAAGGGAAGGAAGAGGGTCAGGAAAGAGTAAAAAAATGAGTGAAAGGACAGAGGCCTGCAGGATATGTGGGTGAAATAAGGGCCTCTAGGATTTTAGTGATCTTTTATTCAAAAAATAAAAGTCTGTACCCTAGAACATGAACAACTGGGACCTGAATTCCACCTACACATATGTGCTTACCCCCAAAACATCCCCTGGTTGATGTCCAAGCAGAGTAGTGAATGCATATCGACATTCAGACTGTAGCCCCCATGTGTAACGGAATTCGTTGCAGATCTGAACCATAATGCGTGTATGGAACAAATCGGAAATGAAATTCCCATGATGACCTTGTGAAAAGCATTTGGATCATGTTTTTCATAGGGTAGAAGATGCTGAGAGAACTGATGATTATGAAGAGGACAGGAAGAAGAATTATTACCAGCTGCCCATTCCCAGGGAGAACATTCACTTCCTGCAGACATGGGAAGAGATGCAGCAGTGCAGGGAACAGGTGCTGCAGGTAGGTGTTGCTCTGGTGTGTATTTGGTAATGCTGTGGAGCAGAGAGATCCCCATGAATCACATAACATGGAGTGGATTTTGTCTTTCATCTTCACATGCATCTGACCCCAGGCCAGTGAGAGCAGATGGAGCACTGTTGGTGGCATTTCCTGCAGGAAATCCTTGAGGCCTAAGGGCTAGCCCATATGGGAAAATGGACTGGAAGCTGCCATTCCAGAATAGGGTCTCAGGTGGACATTCTGCCAAAGCAGTGTGATTCTTCCATGTAAAATAATTCTGTTTGGAATAATGCTTCCCCAGAGGAAACACCACAGTTAGGCCCGGACCATTTCCCTGTAGAGACAAGCCTTAGTAAAGAATGTCTTTCACTTGTGTTACAGCCTGGCCAGGTGATTGGCATCGACATGGAGTGGAGACCTTCGTTTGGCAGTGTGGGGAGGTCGCGTGTCTCCTTGCTTCAGCTCGCTGTCAAGGACCAGGTGTTCCTCTTGGATCTGCTGCAGTTCCAGGAGGAGGCTGAGCAGGAGAAGCTTTCTCACTTTATCCAGACACTCTTTTCAGACCCAGCCATCACTAAGCTAGGTAACTGCTGCCTTCACCCGTGCTCAACCCTGCAATTGACCCCCTGGAAGAGATTATCATCCCCTCTCCTACTCTTGATCCAGAGGGACAGTAAGGGGCTCCATCTGTCCTGGTTCCTACACATGGATTTACCCCATTTTGAGGTTATGTAGGTCAGTTAAAGCAGGGTCTTAGATCTGCCACTTCAAGTTTTTCACTCTGATCCATTCATTTTGGAATCAGCATCTGGAACAATATATATTAAATGCCTGCTGTGGCAGTGAAGAGTCTAACCTGACACTAATGGCAGTGAATGGCAGTGACCTCCCCAGGCCTGGATTTCTTAAAACACTCTGGGTTAATCCCTATCACACCACGTCCACAGTTTTTCAGACTAGCCCTGAACCACATCTATTAGGTGGCCCCACATTTTACTAGCCCTGACCCTGGAGTTCAAAGCCAAATTTGCAATCCCATCTGCTAGACAGCTAGAGACTGAGGCGGGTCACATAGCTGCCACATTAGCCTTTTCCTGCACAGTGACTTTGCTCCAGGTGAGAGGAACTGAGGCAATGCAGGAACAAGGCTACAATGCAGGCATTTTTGTTTTACCGATCTCCTTTCTTCCACACTGAATCCTGACCTGGAAGAATTTCTATTGGGAAAGGAAGGAAATAGGGAGTTTGGTCCTCCTCCAAACCAAAGCCTGTTTGCAACTCTGTTGCAGGTTATCTTGCCACATAGCTAAGACTAACTGAAGTGTATTAGCCATTGTAAGTGTTTCTAGCTACCTGTTGTGGGATTTTGTCTTTCCAGGTTATGGGATGTCTGGAGATCTCACCAGCCTTGCTGCAACATGCTCTACTTTTAAAAACCTGAACAGGGAGGTGCAAGGCACAGTGGACCTGTTCACAGTAGATAAACAAGTAAGGATGAGAACCTGAAGACATGGAAAATTCCTTCTCTTGATTGTGCATGGAGATAACTGTAAAATTGTTTCACAGCATTGTCTTTCTGCATCCTGTATTGGCAGAGAGATAGCTACATGACCTAATAGGTCTTTTCCACTGGTGGCTCCTAGGGTATTAGAATTAGAATGAAGGGGAGGCTTTTTGAACACCAGTCATATTCCTGTTTTGTGAGAATTCTTGCAGATTGACTTTTGACTTGTAAAATTGTAGAGCCATAGGGAAGAAAGCTCCATTAGTCTAGCATTTGGCTGTATCTGTATAACTGCCATGGTTTGTAGAGGGTTCATAAAGAACGTAAAGCTGTAGACTACATGCTGCACAGCGTGCTGCCTTCATCCACTACCAAAAATGCACCTGTTTTTGGATTAGAGCACTGTCATTGCGTAACAGCGGTGGTGTGTGTGGGGAGGGAAGATGACAGTGTGTTGCTGTTATTGGCCATGTAGTTATTCCATTGTGTTATTACCCACAAACTTCAGCTGGGAACAGGGTCTCTTTGCAGAGAGTTCTGCAAATGTTAGAGACATCCCATACCTTGGCATGCTCAAGGCCATGGTACAGCTGAGTGAAGCAGCAGTTCTCTTCCCAGGGCCTGCAAAACGGAGTTCCTTCCCAACAAGTGTGTTTGCCAAGCAAATATCCAGTATCTGTTTGTGCATGCAGTTTACCATCTGAGCTCCTGTCTGGGTCATGTGTACCTTTACTGGAGATAAGGGTGCTTGTATTACTTGGCATAGCCTGACTGACACATGTGATATTTCAGGATCTTTTCTGAAAGCTGTTTCATATTTTTCTTCCTCTTTAGTTACAGAAATGCTTCAGAGACTGGAGGAAGGATGTCCGGAAGGTCCATGTACTGTCACAGGAGCAGAGCTGTGAGGACAGAGGGTTCAGGCAGGCAGAAAAAGGACTCAGCCTGCTGGTGCAGCATGTCCTGGGAAAGCCTCTGGATAAAACAGAGCAGCTGTCCAACTGGGAGAAACGGCCCCTTCGCAAGGAGCAGATCCTCTATGCAGGTCGGATCACCACATTGTTCAGTCACTCTACAGTGAGGTGCAGTGGAGCAGCTCTGACCTGTGTTCATGTTCAACTAGAGATGTGGTGTTGTGCCCATCACTGGTAGAAATGTTAAGTAACCAAAGGGAAAATGGCTTAGCAGATTAATTCCTGTTCAGAAAAGCCATATTTTGCTTGTCCTTTTATGGACCTGGTTTCAAAAGCTGGAGTGTAAGCTGTCCAGTGATTCATTATTTCCCTAATAAAATAATTTCTTTACTAGCTAATTCCTATCTGCTGAAGCATAATTTCAGTGGAAACTTCCATGAATAGTTGAAAAGGAAAAAAGTATATTTCCTTCTGCCTCATTTCACCCCACACAGATTTTTTGAGAAATAATTGTTATGTCCAGAGAAGCACTTGTTAGAGCAGAATTCAGAATGCACAGGGATGCCTTGAGGGCTGTCCATTCAGGACCTGTATTCCAGGAGTGTATAGGAATGGCGTATGCTTAGGAGTCTGACAGTTTGCTCTGAGCCTTTGCTTAAAGGTAAGCTCTGAATAAATCCATTGATAGTCCTCTGTAAGAAAGAGGGCCCTGCAGAGTCATATAATGATACCAGTCTGCATTTAGATACAGCCCTCTGGCAAGCAAACATTGTTTCTACTATTACCACTGGTTACAATTTACCAATCTGACCAAGAGACTTAGCCATATGACTCCTATTGAAATGAATATGCTGTGTTCCTAGATACTCTGGTTGGCATTGAAAATCTCAGTCAGTGGGAACTGCAGCTCCTTAATGCCATGACTGAATTTGACACCTTGTCTCTAAACTCTCTGATGGCAAAAATACCGTGTTTTTACTCGTTCTGAATTGGTGCAACAGGATTCTGTTTCACAGCCTTTTGATGGTTTCCAATTTACTGAATTGGAAAAGAAGTGTAAAATATACTACCAATAAATTCCATCTATTTTAGAGCAATTGGATGTAGTTGCTTTAGATAGATGAGAACCAAAATAGCTTCTCTTGCTGTTTTGGATGAGACCAAATGGATGTCCATGTTCTGTTTTGCAGCTTGTGATGCATACTGCTTGTTGGAAGTGTATAGGAAGCTGTCTGAGGATCCAGCAGCCTTTGGTCTGAGTTCAGACCTCGCTGAGTGCCTGGTGGAGAAACAAGCCACAAAATCCAGGGCAAAGAAGCCGCTAAATAAACAAAAAATGCCATCGACTTCCAAACAGGTTTGTAAGCATCTTCAAAGAACTGTACATAGCTAAAAATCCTTTCAAACTATACATTGGCCCTACCTTTTAACCAGTTGGTTAGATATGCCTGTCAAAAGTCTGTAGCCCTTTCTCTAGTCTTGGGGGTAGCAAAAGTCCTGTTTTACTAGGATAATGTTTTAACCCTTTGATGCTAGGATTTGGGGTTCCCAAAAAAGCTTAATATATTTCTTTTTTCTCTATCTCACTTAGAAATACATGAAACACAGTAAAATTACCATTGCTGTTAATACTTTCATATCTGCATTTCCTGCCTTAACATTTAATTCCCTTATTTTTAAATTGTGTCTAGTTTTATGGTGCATCAGCACACAGGTTTCATATTGTTAACTTTCCCTTATTGCGGCTGAAGGTCTTTGGTCCATTTACATGTTCAGCTGATAAAAGTCCATCTACCACCAATGCTGATGATGTATCCATCTGCTCACTTCCCCCTGTGCCAAACACACATACCCACCCAAAATGTACTAACATAATATCCAAGAAGGGCAGAGCTTCTTAAATCACAACTGATATAACTTAGGGATGGTTGACTTCATTTAAACATGTCGAAATGTGACTAGTAAACATAAGCTGTTTTTATGTATATTAAATATACAAAATACAACCGTCCTACCCTGTAGGCACCTATAAAAATTAAAGGGAAAATTAAGTTTTGATCTGATGAGTCAGTGGCAGATAAAGGACTTGCAAGAACTTGTATGTTCTCTAAGGTAGCCAGAGGGCTGGGCTCATGGTGATACTATCTCCTAGTACCTTTCATCCATTGGACTATGCTGTTGTTACCTCCCAGGGTTTCCATGAGTTGCTAATTATTGCAGTAATCTTTGCTATACCATCTTCCCCAAAGTATGTTTAAATGTACAATAATTCCTTAGTCTTGGATAGTCAGTAAAATACAAAATGTTTCAACAGAATTTACTGGCCCCACCAAGAAAAGGGAATGCTGTGAATGTAAGCATATCTGTGTTGTTGCTACAATACAGTCTACGTAACTGAACATTCTCGTGAACTCATGAGCCCAGAGTATCACCTCTGCCATCCAAATGACTAACCCAGAGCTAGTGTATTCTAATGTATAGAGCACTTGACTGGGACTCAGGAGACCTGAGCTCTGCCTGTGGTCTGCTGGGTGACCTTGGGGATGATGCACTTTATTTCTCAGTGCCACGTTAGCACCCTGTATAAAATTGGGATGATGAAACTGACATTCTTTGTAAAGCAATTTAAGATCTACTGATGAAAAGGACTAAATAATAGCTAGTTTTCACATTGTTCTTGGCACTGTACTGTCATAGAGTAAGCGGTAGTCTTGACTCCTTCATGTCTGAACAAAGGCAACATCATTGGTTTAATGATATAAAAATATCTGTGGACAACACTCCAACCCTACTTCATACTTTATCACCATTAAAAAGATCTTTAAAAAAGTATTGACCCTCAGTTACTGCACTCTGATATCTGAGATACCACAGTGATTCCATGCTCTAAATATAGTACCCTGCTGTATACGCTGAAGACCCAACCCTCTGTTAGTCCAGCTGGTTAAAGTTCCTAAAGACAAATCTAGCTCTGGAGTCTTGTCTAGTGGTTGTAATGCCAAATATCACGAACAGGTTCCCTTCCACATTTAAATGTATCCCGGCCTCCTAGGAGCCTCCTAGGGACAAGTGGTACATTTGATGGAATGGTTACAAACAGCAGACATTTGCAAGGCATTAGTCAGTCAATCCTTATATTTATTTTTTTTTCCCTTCAGCAGTCCAAAGGGGTTGTCAAGGAGGCCTCAAACCCCTCTCCCGTCATCTCTCCCAAAGAGTTCAGTGTGGTCTGCGACAATATGCTGCAGGGACTTGGGCGCTACCTTCGCTGTCTTGGGGTGGATGTCCGGATGCTAGAGAATGATGATGACCATAGAAAAGCCGCTGAGGTCAGTCATGGGGTGGATAACTGTACCTGCTGCCATTCAGAGAAAGCTCAGCATTTGAATGACTATGCTTTCTATGGGTGTTCATCCAGCACTTCCTTGTATCGAACAAGTAGAGTTAACAGCTGTGGGGGGAGTTAATATACGTATAAGCCTGGGTCCTAGCGGACAAACTGTTGTCTGTGTTGGACTCCAGTTATTTTGCATTCACATTCCTAGGATGAATAAACCTTTCTGCATAGAGTGCCCTGATCTTGCTTATTTGGCCTGGTATTTTACAGTCAGGGGGTGCGTCTACACGTGCGCTTTACTGCACAGTAGACTAATTTATTGTGCAGTAAAGTGTCACTATCTACACACACACTAGAATTAGAGCTCAGTAGATTAATTTACTCTGGCATAGGATAGTGCTGTCAGACACAGGTACTATCTGACAGTGGAATAATTTACTGTACTTAAGCACTTGTGTAGATGGTGACATTGGAATTAGTTTATTCTGGCTCAAATTCCACCAGAGTTTATTTAGTTGCATTAATTGCACATGTAGATGCACCCAGGAACAATAACAGGTTCCAGGTAATTAAAGGAGTTCAAGCACACTGTATGTAGCCAGCAGTTTACAAGCATTTGCAGTGAGGCAGTATTGTTTCATAGATTTTATAGAGATAGACATTTGGGCTGGAAGGGACCCCAAAGGATCATTGAGTCCAGCCCCTTGAACCTCGTTAAGGTTATGGGAAAAGGCTGAGCCCAGAAGACATTTTGGTGTATAATGGGGGAAGAGCCATATGGTGATTTCAGAGAAATAGTTTGCCTGGAGGTGCTTGAATCAACCTAGATAAACATAATCACAGCAAGGCCTGGTTGCTTGGGAGAGAATATTTCTAGGATAAATTATCAGGTAACTTTCTAACCAGCTACTGCAGGGCACCTCTAGCCTGGTTCAGTGACTCAATCTATAAATTAATTGCAGTGAAACACTGAAGGAGGAGGAGCTTTCTCTGAGCTGCAGTGGGGTAGCTAGCACTGATTTGGACTCGCATAACCACTCAGTCTGACCCTTCTTGTCTAGGAGGAAAGAGAGACATGCTCTTTCACTTCACACATATTTTTGCTCTGCCAGAAACTGTGATATCCAGCCCACACAGTGTGCTGCTATCAAATATACAGTGATCCCCAGGCCTAGCCTACAGGATGTTTCCTCATCAGATGTCTGTTTGGCCCGAATCCTGAGCAATCCTTAACTTCTGCAAAAATAATTAATATCTCATCTCTGCCAAACTTTGAACAAGTCCTTTAAACAAATAGCTAACCCTCATTTCCCTCACCCTTCCCCCAGCACCCCATCTCCTCTTCTCATCCTGATACCTTATCATGCTACAGACAGGATGTTTTAGATTGCTCTCTCTATGGTGACCGGACAAACATCCTTTTGCTATCAAAAGCCCTTGGAGCGTTATTGTATGGCAGAGACTTTGATCTGTACTTGGATAATCAAAGATAAAAATGGGTTCTCTCTACCCCCATTTGTAGCTGAGAATCCTGATTTAATAAGAGTTGAGTACTGAATGTTGCACTCACAGACGGTCAGCAAGCAGATCTCCCACTAACTGAGAGATAGTGATGGCTTTAAAATAGTGGTGGCTAAACAGAGCATAAGTGATGGTTTGGTATATGGGAAAGAGGCTATTACCATATCAAACCAGTATTAATAGAGCACACAGTGCACAAACAAGATTAGGGTTTGTTTCTCCATTACAGTCATTTCAATTCTGTTATTAATCACACTCCCCTATTTATATTTCTTTATTCTCGTATTGCAAAGGTCACTGTAGCAGCTCATCTGCCAAAGTAGGAGTCCCTGAATAGCCTGGCATTTGCTTCCTATTGTTTTCAGCACCAGTTGCTAAAGCAACTGTAAATAGTAAGTGGATGGTCTCACCTTCTGGATTGTGTTATTTGAAATGTAGCTTAAAAGCAAGAGGGCTCTTTAAGATGCAGCCTGCAGCAGTGGGTTTGCACTGTACCTTCTCAGACTGCTGTTCCCAAAACCCACTCCAGCCCCGTAAGTGCTGGGTGCTGCTTCCTAACCTATGGCAGTTAGCTGCCAAGCAACATCTTACAGGTGGCTATTGTCTTGGTAAAACTTGTCTCACTACACAAGTTGATTTAAATCTCTGAGCATATGTTGAGCATATATTAGCTATTTACTTCTCTGGATGTGACTGTAAACTGTATCTGACTGGAGGGCCTGATGGTAATGTGGTGGGGCTACTTGTGGCGGGGTAGCACCTATAAAATACCAGTGTTGCAACCTCCAGAGTAAGGCAAGTATAGGGCGCCCCAAAACCCTAGCTCCCACTACCCTGTGGGTATGCCTTGGTTGGAGACAGGGTACGAGACATCACACTGACAGAAGCATGCCCTCACTGAGGCCATAGGCAGCAGCAGTTCTTATCTGTTGCTGTCTGGCAGAAGCTACAGCCATCAAGGCACTGAATGTCTGGACTTGGTCTGGCCTTTGGATTTGTCTCAGTGGCATAATGGCGGGGTGGTAGGTCTTGGGCAGCCTTCACTCCTCCATACTCTTGCCTAGGCATATGCATCAAAGATCTTAGTGATTAGACCTCTTAAGTGTACTGTACACCATGCTCCAGAGGATCAGCAGTTGCCTACTACTTCTCTGTCATTTCAGTGATATGGCACTGGCAATGCCCTCACGTCCCATTGCACTTTGTAGGCTGCTCTGGTGTTTCTGGTTTTGTTTGGTAGGTGTGTGTAAGGGTTCATAGTACCAATTTTAGGAAATCCTTGGGTAAATGGTTTTCTGTGAATTCGGGCAAGTAGATTCCCTAACCCAGAATGTCCTTTCCAGCCTTATATTCCCAGTGTGCTGTGTCACCTTGAGGGGAAGACTGGTAGTTATATTGGTCCTAGCAATTCTCATCTTAGTCCTGGCTTAGTCTCCAGGATCCAGTGGATTTGGCTGCAGTCATTGTAAGAAACCTCCTGTAGAGCTGTAGTAAATGTGAGGCTGGATGGATCTGAACTATTCTTTCATAAAGATAGATGAAAGAGTCTTTGAAAAATATAGATGAATTAGAAGCTCTTTTATAATGCTTCCTTTTTCAATGAAGTAAAAATAAGGGGCTTGCCAGCTGCCCATAAGTGTTCCTTTCAACCTTGCTTTGACTAGCAGTAACCTGCATGGGTACAACTGTGCTATGTTTAATTTTGGGCACCAGATGATGTTGGTGATCCTTTAACTCCATGGTGCTGTTGCTCTAAGTTAGTGGCTCTAAACTAGTGATTCTCAGCCAGAGTGTCAGGAAATCTGAGGGTGCCTCCAGATCTTTGAAGGTGCCTCAAAGTGTAAGGAGAGAAATGAGTTGTGAGGAGATAAGCAGGTAAGCGAAGTAGGTCCTTGCCTGAATCATCCTCCACCCCCATTGCTCAGTCCTTCTGCAGGGAGGAAAGCACTGCAATATATAAATTAGTTTTTGAAATTGGGCACCACTCAATTAACAAAAGTTATGGAGGGGTGCCCTGAGTCCAGTGAGCAGTGTCTCGAGTCCAAAAAAGTTGAGAACCACTGCCCTGAGGTTTACACATTTGGTATGTTTGGGGCTGCTGTTTTGATGCAACTTGGAACAGCGCATGGGTCACAAGAGCTTTAGAGGAGCTATGGGGGAGAGAGGCCTTGGCCATATACTTACAACTGGCAGAGTCCAGCTCTCCTTAATGGCTTAGCTCAGTGACCCTCACACAGAAGAATCTGAACAGATTCATCTGACTGTTGGATAATCCATGTGATAGAGAATGTGTTAGGGAGCAGTATTATCTTACAGTATGGAGATTCATCTCATTGGAAGGACTGCATGCCTTTGAGCACAAGGAGGCGTCAAACTTTATACGAGTTAGGGTTACCATATTTCCAGTTCCAAAAAAGAGGACACCTGTCAGAGGTGGGTGGATGGAGTATATGATTGTGGAGAGCAGTGATATGCTGGTGCCCTGCCACTGCCCATCCCGTGTCCCCTCACTCCCAAGCCACAGCCCTGCCCCCATCCTGCTGCTGCGCCTCACTGCCAGCCCTCAAACCACTGGCTCTGTGGGTGCCCCTCACTCCCAACCTGCAGTACCCTGCCTCCCTGGCTTCTCTCCCATTGTCCACCCAGAGACACGCGTGCAGCTGCCACCACCACCGAGTCGGGCCAGGGCTCAGCCGACCTCAGTGCATCTGTGTGCAGCCTCCTTGCCTCCTGCCACAAGCAGCCCAGATTTTGTGGAGAGCAGCAAAGGCCTTCCCAGAGCCCAGGCCAGCTGTGTCAGGCAGCTGGGAGGCTGCAAGCTGCTGCATTGAGGTCTGCAGAGCCCCCGCCTAGCTCGTTGCTGGCAGGGGAGGGGCCAGGGTTGTGCTTCCCTGGCCCTTCCCCACCGTGCGCACTGAGGCATGCGTGCAGCCACCACCAGCCATGGAATGGGGCCGGGCTCTGGACCCCAGTGCAGCCGTTTGCAGCCTGTGTGCTGTGAGCCCAGGCTCCATGGCCTGCATGTGCACCTCAAGGTGCACTCAGGGAAAGGACCAGGGCAGTGCAACCCCAGCCCCTTCCCCACTGTCCATCTGGAGGTGTCCATTAGGGCTGTGCGAAGCTTCAGGTGCTAATTTCGATTTGGAGGAGATTCCGCCTGATTCGATAGCCAAATCTCTGAATCCGAAATGAATCAGGTAACCAATTAAAAGGTCTGAATCAATTCGAAGCTCTCTGGTTCGGAAAAGATTCAGAGAGATTCAGTGATTCGGGCAGTCCCTGCTGGCTGCAGGAGGGAGCTGGACCTGGACTCTGTGTTGGTAAGTAGGGGCGGGAGAGGGGGGGCTGGAGGAGGGGGGAGGGGACCATAGGGGGGACCCCCACCGGCCCTGCCCACTCCCCCAGCCCCCCCGACCCCCGCCCTGCCTGTCTCCACC